GGATACTTATTTGCTTCTTTTTTTTTCGTGCTCTCCTTCCATTGCGATTGAACTGGAATTGAGTTTTGAACACGGGGGTGTGCTTGTCAAACGTTTCGGGATTACATTAAGGAGTTCGCTGCGCTAATTGGTGAGTATTTCATTTCATCTCTGGGTTAGACCTCTGTGCACCCCCCTCCGCTGCCTGTCGGAATATAGCGCTTGATGAAAACTGTGAAGATTTTTAAGCGCACTGTACAGCCTGGCGGGTATAAACTCGGCGGAATGACTGATCGATCGAGTCACTTTAAAAGTTGGTCATGCAGACAGCTTCATACCGGTACTGCAAGCAGTGTGTCGTTTCAGTGGTTCTGTAACACGCAAAAACAGAGCGGTTACAAACCACAGGACGTTTCGGCCCCCATCTAGACTGGCCGCTACGTGGTTGTTAACTGATCCAAGGATCTGATCCTTGAACGAAACCGGGCCTTCGGCTGCAATGACGTGATGGGGGCGGTTTGTTCCGGACTCCCGCCGACTCGTGACGTCCCCGGCGTCGGGGCTCGAGGTGCCACCTGCTGACCTCAGCGGTGGCCGTGTGGCCCGAGCCGGCCTGGGGCCGCGCGCGGAGCTGGGACAGAACGCAGGAAGCCTGGGAGAGCTCCGGGACAGAGCGTTCGCACGAGTCTAAATATAGTTTTAAGACGGGTGACCAAAAAAAAAACCCCAAAACAACCCCACACACAGCAGTGATCATACGATTGCAGAGGTCGGTCAGTTAGTTTACGTTGTGTGTTTTTTGTTTTGTAATTACGGAACCGGGCAGCTGCAGCAGTTTAGTATGCAGAAGTGAAAATCACAGCAAGGAGACGGGAATACCTGCGGACCCGGGTGGACCGCAAACGTGAGCGAGCCGCGCCGCCCGGACACAGGGCGACCCCGGCCCTCGGGTCACGTGTTTAGCGAGACGACGTCATGGGGCTGTGGTGAAGTCCCTCCGCTGGCCTCTCGTGGGGTGTCCACGACTTTGACGTAACACCCCCTTGTTGGGGACGATGGCCCCGGTGGTACTCTTTTAAAGTTACCTGTCCGTCTTGATGTTGCAGAACAACAAAAAAAAAAGCGTTTACATTTCAACGCACGATTTTTTTGTTTCTCAATAAGTACTGCAATACTGGACTGAACCCGCTGCCCAGCTCTTTACTAGACCGGATATCTGGATCTGCGTGACTTGATGTCCCTCCGCCCTCTGCTGCATTGTAATCCAGGGCTACCAAGCCTAGGTGATTAACGCAGTGGTCATAAGGCAAAGGAATTCACAAATGACACACCGCTTCAGTGACGAGACACCGTTTAAAAGCCCGGAACCCCCTTTCATCCTGAGTGTCTGTGACTACACTGCTGAGCACAACAGTTCTCGACTGTAGGGAACCGAAGAACGCAAGCGTTTGACCTACAGCCGCTGGCACCTGTGTCGGACCGCAGGCTGTGCAGTTCTTTCCCTACGCTTCGGCTGTAACCCAGCAATTGTAGTCTAAGGTAGGCGAGGAAGACGTTTCTAAATAAATACATTACGAGTATATGGCCGCAGGGGCTGCCGTCTGCCGACTAGACTGTGAATGAACACAGACAATGGGGGAAAAAAATGTACTGAAACTAAAAGCCTAGCCGTGAAATGGGGAAACTCCAGATACATGTTTTGTTTAGTTTATAATTGTGGCTATTGTTACTGATAGTGTGTTAGTGGGGCTATGCTTTCACACTGTAACGTCTCGTAGAATCGGGCTGGTGCCTGGTGTTTTCGGCAACTGGGCCGAGGTGGGTCGTTCGTTATTCGGTCACGTTAATGACCAGCCCGGTGTGAGCCCGAATGGGGCTCTGCTCGTCCCCAGATACCCGGAGATAAGATAACTCTCAGGTACATTTCACAAGAAGACCGGGTCAGGAAGGGCCGTCGTCGAGTGGCCCGGTTTCAATCAGATCCTGACTGATGTGAATCACCCTGCTTGTTGTGGGAAATAACCTAGATGTGCGTTCGGGTTTTTCCCCCCCGATACGAGATCTATAAACCGATAACCCCCTCCACCCGTACGCGTTTATTAGTGCAGAGTCCAAAGCTAATTGTGAAGCAGTGCTCGATGTGTGAAAAGTTTTAAAACCTACTAAAAAAGGACAAACGCAGTCCATCAGGCTGCCTCGTGATTCCGCTGTCAAGAAATCCATATTGGACAGTGTTTTATTTATATTGTTTTGACAGCGATGTGTTCTATTGTACAAATATTGCTCTGTGGGAGCACATGGGTCTGTGCAGTATGTAAAAGTATTCTTACTGGCCTGGGTTTTGGAATATCGGTTGCTGTGAGGTCTCAATTGTGTTTATTCAACAGTTCTCGCATGACTAGCGGACACCTCGGTTTAGTAATTGGCGGAGGTTTAATTAAAGTCAGGAATGATTCACAAATTGTTGTGCTAAGATGACCTAACTGACCCCATTATCAGGCAGGGGAATTTCAGTACAGATCTCACTAATCTTACACTGATCTCCCATGCAGCAGTGGACACTACATTACTGCGAGCAACTGTTTCCGCTACCAAAGACAACACAAACCTGTCAGCGCCGGGTATCCTCTCCTCTCCCGACCAAATATCACTGCAGGCATGTCTCTGTTTGAACTAAACCTCTGGATTTAATTCAATGCTTCTGTATACTTTTAACAGCTATTTTTTTTATATGCAGCAATTTAAAAAAAAAATGAAAAATAGATAAACTAGTAAAAATAGTTATAGAAATAGTTTTATAAGGGGATGGGCCGGCCAGTGGCGCACCTGGCTCACGGAGAGATCACAGGATGCGGTCCCCTCGCTTCACCGCTAGATGGCAGGCACGCTTTTCTTTGGCGTCTCCAAGGATCGCGTTGTCTGTTGACTGCGGAGTCAGGCTATGTTGCTTTTGATTCAAGGGGTGATGGACTTGTCAGGATATCAATATTGTTTTTTTCCCCATTCAATGCAACGAGCTTTATTAGCATGACCGACAGTGTTGCCAAAGCGTACACGATCAACACAACATCTACGGACATTGGCAATACAGACCCCTCGTAGGAGGTTCGCGTTCAACATACAGCACATAGAACACTATTGGGATGGTAAGGGTACATATCATGAAGGATAATATGTATGAACTACTAAACACAAACCAGCTTTAGTTATTCCCACGCGCGTGGACAGTCGCGTTACAGTCTGTAGGTCGAATACAGGTTGTGTGTTTTTTAAAGTTACTTTTTTTCCCCGCTCTTGAGTTGTGAGCTGGGCTGCGGCGCTTGAGTTTACCGTGTGAGGTGTCGCGATCGGGAGAGCTTGTGGAGCCGGAGGTCTTGCTGTCGGATGTTATCCCGACAGCGAAGGAAGGAGCCGACGCAGTCCCGTGTGACCGTGAACCGTGCGTGTGGCGCAGTTTATACTGCACGGAGCGAGTTCAGCAATTCACAAAAAACGCGGTGCTTTGCTGTGACTCCTGTCCCTCGCTCGCTCGCTCGGCGCCCCGTTTCTGTCCCCAAAACAAGCGAAGCCAGTGTTTGCGCGGTTTCCCGCAGTGTAATCGCTCATGCGGCAAGTGTGCAACACGAGTACGTAAGGAAGACACCTGGGGAGGGCGTGGGATTTAATAAACATTGTTGTCGCAAAAACACAGCCGCCCATTGTATGAGGGACCGGAGGGCAGGACCCGGGCGGTTGCTAGGGCAGCCGGCCGGTGTGTTTTGACTGTGTTGTGCCGGCGGCCGCGAGGCTCAGCCTGCGCGTGTAGGCGCGCGCACGGCGTGGAGGAGCACGCCAGGGTCGGGTGCGCGCCGCGTGACCTCCGGGGCACAAGAGCGGGGACGCCGGAGCCCCCAGGAACACCCCACTTCCGGGGAGTCTGTTCTTTCATTCCCATCTCTCCGAGCGCCCGGTTTTGCAGTCTGTAGGGCTGGCTGGTTCGGTCACTTTCGTATCCTATAATTGAATCATTGAATTGCAAAGCAGAATATTTGACTTTTTTTCTGCACTCGTATAATAATAATAATAATAATGAACAAGTAATAGGTTTATTCCCTGCTGAAAAGAGAAGAAAGAAAACACAACCTTGCGGCTGTGGAGCCTTCTTCGGGTGTGAGAAAGATAGGGCAGTCCTATCTGCTATTATTAGTAATAATAATCATCATCATCACTTCTGGCAAAATTAAATGGAATGGGTTTCACGTTGTGTCGACGATGGCCGTTGCCCACAAGGGGGCGCTACAGCTCTTGGAGCAGAGCTTCCTGTGCCCTCGCGGGGGCTGTTTTCCCTGCAGGTAACCGGGGCGCCTGGCGTGGTTAGGAGGGCCGCCTGCCGGACAGCGGGCTGCAGAGCGGACCCTCTCACAGGTCCGCGGGGAGACGAGCCGGGGTCCCGCTGGTTTGCCAACTGTGACGGGGTGGTGGTAGACGAGGGTGCTCTGCAGCTGAATTGAACCTCACCGAGCCTGTCTTGCGACAGGCGAGCAAGCGCGAGAGACGCGACACACGGTTTGCAGGAGCCCCCCTCCGCCTCCCCCGGCCGGTGCGGCGCGCGGATCCCTCGTGTGCGGGCGAAAATCCGACGCCCAGACCGAAGCCGCAGCTGCGTCCAACGCCAGGACTCATTAAAACAAAGATGCAGCCCTAAAATTAACAGCTTCGGGTAGCTATCTATTTAAATGCAATACGCCTTTTTTAGGCCTACTCGTCTTTCTTTACAACAGAAATAATACACATCTCAAAAGACATGAAAGGCCATCAGATTTATTCTGGGCCGCTTTTGTGATTCTAATACATTATGAATGGCCTCGAATTGCAGGTGGGCGGGGTCTAACGTATCCCTCCGGTTTGGCCGCGCCCCCTCCCCGGCTCCGATTGGCGGAGAGGCCGAGGGGAGGCGGTCTCTCGACTCCACGTGGGAGTTTTGCCTTGCATTGGCTAAGATAACAAAGTCTGAGCAATATGCCGCCGCTGATTGGCTGGAGCAGCCGGGCCCGGTGGGCGTGCTTTGCCCCTGTAGAGCGGTGATACTTTGTAACATTTTTTTGTTGTTGACTTTGCATTGGAGCTGCGAGGAGGCAGCGGAGAGCAGGACTGGTTTTACGAGGCTTGGGCAGTCAGTAGTACTGATCCCCTGCTACTAGCAAGAACCCTACAGCTCCGGGCGTTTTTAAAGAATTAGGAATCAACCCTTTTAACATCAGTAACTGCTTACCTTTTAACTGCATGGCGGAGAGGCAGCAGCCCGCAAAGTCGAGTTAAATTGTCAAGAGGAATCTCGTGTCTCCGATCGGCTATTGTTTCGCGTTGGCGATGGTCCGCTACCGTAGCATTTAAAAAAAAAAACCACACGGGGACAGCGGGTCTGGACGTGGGATTCTTCGCAGACGAAACGGAGAGAAATTAAACGTCTTTTAAAACGAGAAACGCTCAAAGAGGTGGGGGGACTTCATTTCGGGGATATTTCTATAACGAGAAGACCGGAGAAGATCTGGCGTTCGCGTTGGGCTGTACAAGGAACAGCAGAACACTTGGATCTTGTGATATTTTGAGGAACCCCCTTTCTCGGGTACCAGGGCTTTTGTTTTTTTTTTAAATTTGGGGGTTTGAGCCCCTTTTCTTTCTCTCCGACCAACACCAAACTCCCCACCCCCTTCTCCTCCTCCTCCTCCTCCCTCCTCCCCGTTTTTTTTGAGCTACAGCCCCCCTCAAACCCCCTCGCGCTGTCTCGCTCTTGAATGCCAGGTCATCGAATGGACCAGCACCCTAGCGCGAGGAGCTGCACGAGCCGGGGAGCCGCGTCCTGCGAGGCCGTCGCGAGCGAGCCCTCCATGAACTTGTACATCCGCTCCACCACCGGCACGCGCTTCGAGCTCTCCCTGCCGCAGGACGAGACGGTGGAGGGGCTGAAGAGGAGGTTATCGCAGAGGCTGAAGGTGCCGAAAGAGAGACTCGCTCTGCTACACAAAGAAACGTGAGTACGGCGGCGACCGCATCCTGTCTTGTCTCGCTGTGTCGTGCATCGTCCACAGAACCCGTACACTCGTCTAACAGGCAAGACTTCGGGGCTGTTTTCTCCCTGCTGCTCTGTTTAGAATCCAGGGCACACAGCAGGTACAGGGCTGGGAGGGCTGCCCGGCGTCTCTGCTCTGCAGGCGAGCCCGGAGGTGGCTCATCCGCCGAGTGGTGTCTGCTGGGCTACCGTGCACTTGCACCGCCGGTGCAGCCAGGGGTACTAGGAGACAGAGCTGTAGCATGGGAGTCCGCTCGCCCGCAGGAGAGACAAACCCCCCGATTGCTTTCAGCCTGTACACCCGTGTGCCTCCGACCGCGAGCCGTGACTTTTTTTTATTTTTGGCGTGTTTTTTTTCCTCTCTCTCTCTCCCGCGGCGTGAGAGTGGGGGAGCGGAACATTTCTGATGCAATGTTTCGCAGTTGAGAAGCACGCGGGGTGGGGGGGGTCGCCGGGCCAGGCCGGTCCTCCCGACTATGCCCAGAAGTGTGGGTTTCACCTGAGCGGCGGAGAAGTCGAGCTCCAGCCGGCGGAAGTTGTCCCGGGGGTCTCCCCGAAGGGGGGGCAAAACGGCCTTAAAAGCCGCCGCCCCGGGGCCGGAAAAGGCAAGGGGGGGCTGACAGGAAGGTTAAGTTAGTGCAGGGCAAAGGTTCCTGCTCCGACCGCCGATCCGTGACAGAGCTCGGCGACATCATCGCTCCGAGCCCGGGGGACAGGCGACAAGCGCTGCGAATCGCCTGTAAAAGCAGGATCAGTAATCGCAGCTCCTAGGAGTTATGACTCGGGTATGTTAATGGGAAAACGTGTCCATTCCTGTCCCCCACCCCCTCCTCCTCCTCTCCTCCTTTCCGTTTCATCTGCCGTCTATTCTTAGTCTTCTCTCCCTCTCCTTCGTCACGGGCTCGCGATGTGTATTGAGAGTTTTCATATTGAGATTCTTCTCATCAATTAGACCCCCTCACACACACTCTCCCGCCGCATAGGAACCCGATTGTAACATTTGCATACAAAGTAGCAGTGTGTGTGGCTGGGGTGGGGGGGTATTTAAGTACAGGATTAGCCGGGGGCCGGTTCGGAAGACAATGAAGTCGCTGCCCTCTCGAATATTAACGCCTGGTCACCTGGTCAAGATCGGGCGCCTCTCGCTCCTGACCGGGGCGGGAGCAGTCTTGGCGTTAAAGCCGATCGATACTTTGGGGCGGGGGGCGCGTTTTAAAAACAGAATCACAATGGAGACCCGGGAGGGTGGACTTTGTGTGTATATGTGTGAGGAGGAGGGGTTGCTTTGTCACTCGCAAATGACCCTGACTTAACTGCCGCATTGTTTTTCTTTCGAAAAGGAGGGTGGTCGTTAACGCCCCCTCTAGTAATCGGCTCTCAGATCGCACCTTTCTTCTCGTTTTTGTAAGAAGAAGACGGAACACCTTTCCTCTCCTTCCTACGGACTGCTGCCCCTGGGCTCCCTTTGTTCAGGGGCGATGACATTTAACACACACACACACAATCCGAGTCTCTTTCTCCTGCTGCTGGAGAGATTCTGTGCGTTGAGTCACGCCGGTCTTCCGCTACGATTTGTGTCGGTGCTGCCATTGATGGTCTGGTTGTTTGCCGGCGCTGTCGCGCTCGATTGAAAGTCCGAGGTGTAGTTTTATTTTGGGGGGAGGTAAAAACGTGCCCGAGCCAGATCTCGAAGGCAGCCTCGGGAAATACCCCCTTTTTTAGTAACCGCCGACCAGCAGCTGCCGGAAGCAGGGGCAAGGACCTGCACACCTGTCTCTCTTGAACGGCCGCGTTCCTCTGAAAGCCCACCGTGTTCTTAATGTCCCTTTCTGTCGCTGGCTTTTGGCTCAGCTGACTTCGGGGGCAGGTGTGTGTCGTCCTGGCTGCGGTTCCGTGCACACAGGGCCTTGTCGCCTGCTGGTTTGGACCCGCTCAAGGTGAAGGAAGATTCGCCGCTCATCTATTATTAATCTTGGGGGGGGGGGACGTCTTAAAATAGCCACAGTCGTTACGGCTCTGCGGGCAGGTGTCGGTGGCCGAACAATAGAAACCGTGCACGACAGACGGTGAGACGGCACCGGGTCCATCAAGGCCTTTTAAAAAGAAGTCTCCCCAGGAGTGACGTCACGGCTACGTCTGACCGAGCGCGGTCATTCACCCTCGACTATGGGCGTTTGTAACACGGCGCGCTCGCCACACTGCAATTACGATTCCGGGTACTGTGTCATTTATTTTTATGGGGCTGTGGACGTCAGACTCGCAGCACAGCTACAGAAAAGGCAGCGTGTGCTGTTCATGGCACCGCTCTGCCTCCCCAGCGGCAGACGTGCTTTGTGTCGCCATTCTGCTGAGTGTAGGGTTTCCTAATAAGGCCCGCAGAGAGGGGGGGGGGGCGGAACCGGTTCGCTTCTGGCGTTCGGGTGATGTCGGAGGCTCGGCTTGGTGTGGGCCAAGAGCTCGGGTCGCCCCCTGCGGACCTGGCCGGTTCCCCGGGTTGGAGAGTGAGACTCAAGACCATGAGCCTCGAGTGTCGGAGGTGGTGGGGGGGTTCTGGACAGGACCGGGCCTGGTCTCCTTCAGCCTGACCCGACTCCCGCTGTACTTGCAGCTGCAGGCGGGTGAGAGAAAGCACGCTATTTATATAAATGCCTCTTCCCTCCCGTCTTAGAGGACACTGGTGTCACATGCTCACAAAGAGCACTGTGCTCCAGTTTTAGAGGGTGGTGAGGAGGAGGGGGGGAGAGAGAGACTAATACTTAACCCTTCCGTGACCAAGTTAATGACAATGAGACGTTAAAAAGAAAAGAAAACGGCACCCCTTTTCACTGACGCAGTCGTACCTGTAATAACGCCTAATAAGGAGAATCGTCATGACACCCCAGTTTATTCCGTTTGCGCTTGTGGCTCGCATGGTATTGTTGTGTGTTTAAACGGATATTTTGTTTTCCTGATCGGTTCTGTTTCTTTTTTTTCCCCTCTCTCCCAGGCGGCTAAGTTCAGGCAAACTCCAGGACTTCGGCGTCTCCGATGGGAGCAAGTTAACACTCGTCCCCACTGTGGAAGCGGGTTTAATGGTAGGAGCTCCGCCGCGCGTGCTGAGATCCAGCCGAGACCTCACGCGGTGATCCGGCACTTATCTGTCGCAAATGCGCAGTTCGGGGGGGGTTTGGGGGTAAATGTTTCCAAAGCCTTCCTCGAAAAAGACTTGAGCGTTGCAGAATGTTCGCGTGTACTCTGATTTGCTGTCAATAACCTTTTCAACTTATTTTTAAAATCGGTGCGTTCCTCGCTGCGTTTTAACAATTGGGACAGCACACGGATTGCTCGTGAATGTTATTCTGATTGATTTTATTTTTATTTTTTTTTTACGCGTGCGAAAGATCCGTCTCATCGGCTCACGTTTTCTTTTCTCTTTCTGCTTTGTCTCCTGTGAAGTCACAAGCATCCAGACCCGAGCAGTCCGTCATGCAGGCTTTGGAGAGCTTAACAGAAACTCAGGTAAGAGCTGATTCCGGCCGTTGCTATAGAACCGCGTGGTTTGCATTAGGCGGACCTGCCGTGTACTTCAGTGTGCATGTTTTTTTTTAATCCATGCAATAAAAGTGTTGGGTTAATTTGCAATATATACATGAAAGAAGACAATGCGTCAGACCTGGGTCAGGAGCTGGGGGTAGTGATACTTGTCTGTGAGCTTTCAAGTAAGGGTGGGGTAGGAAAGGAGAAGCCCCGAGATTTCACGAGCTTCTTTCGCGTCGTATCCCCCCTTTAAATGGCAGGGAGACGTGGCCGGTGTGTCAGGGGAGCTCACCTCGTATGTCACGCGGCTGCCGCGGGCCTCGATCGCTGCCGCATCTGCGCTGAGGCGGGGGCCCCGCCCCCTTGTGCGTCATCCCGGACGCCTTCTGGGAGGTCAGCCTCGGCTCGTGCGCCTGAGGTGTGATCGAGAGCTCTGCAGCTCAGAAATCGTTTCCAAGAAATGTTGAGTGTGCGGTGCGGTTTTGTGTGGTTTTTTTTCTCTCACCCAGATGCGCCCTGCCCCCCCCCCC